CCAAGCAGCATCATAGGAGCAGAGAGGAGGACTGGGTAGTCCGCCCGACCGCGGGAGGCGCTGTGACCAGAGTCCGCCCGACCGCGGGAGGCGCTGTGACCAGAGAGTCCGCCCGACCGCGCGAGGCGCTGTTACCGGAGAGTCCGCCCGACATCGGGAAGCGCACTCTCGCGTCCTGACTGAGGAGCTGCCTTGCCTACCGGGATTGCAATGGCGAATCGGACGGTGAAAGATGCTCATAGCATCCATGGAACCAACCCGCAGTACTTAATCGAGAAAATCATCCGCACCCGCATCTATGAATCCAAGTACTGGAAGGAGGAATGTTTCGGGCTGACAGGTGGGGATTGAGGGCGTAGGATCAAACATTGAGCTTTAGGACATGGTTGGGGCCTGGGCCGCTCACTCCTTGTTCAGACAGTAAACGTTCCAGTGTCCTCGGCTGTTTGCAGCAGCTCGGTTCGACGATGGCATTTCATATTCCGGTCTTCGTTCGAGGTCGCAGATGTAACGTTTATGGCGTTTCAGCTTATTTTGTAGTTTTCCTCGAAACTGATCCACAAAACCCACTAACAAAATCAGAAATTACTGGAAAAACTCAATAGGTCGGGTAGCATTCTGTGGAGAGAAGGTACAGTTAACGTTTCGAGTCCAGTGACCCTTCTTGAGGACTCCACAAAATCCGCTACTTGCTCTGTACTTTCACCCTGTCCATTCAAACCCCTTCATTAAACTTGTTTTCGCTGGTATTTTGTTATAGAATCCCTACAGTGTGGAAGCAGGCCATTCAGCCTGAAGAGCATCCCACCCAGACTCAACACCCTGTGACCCTGCATTTCCCATGGCTAACCCATATAGCTTGCACACCCTTGGACACTATGGGGCAATTTAGTATGGCCAATCTACCTAACTTGCACATCTTTGGACTGTGGGTGGAAACCGGAGCACCTGGAGGAAACCTACGCAGACATGGGAAGAATGTGCAAACTCCACACAGACAGAACCCCGAGGTTGGAATCGAATCCAAGTCCCTGGTGCGGGGAGGCAGCAGAGATAACCACTGAGCCACCATGCTGCCCCAAAATTGAATTCAAATTCCACTGTCAGCCATAGCAGGATTCGAACGCAGGTCCCCAGAACATTAGCTGAATTTCTGCATTAATAGTCTAGTGATAACTCATGCAGCCTCGTCAAATTACTTCTTTCCAAATGTTTGCCTGTTCTGCTTACCCATCTCTGGCTATGTTTCTATTATTGCAAAACAACATCCATTCATGCTTCAGCATTATTTCAAGACCATGTTATTGTCCAGGAAGAAATGTTATCCATTTTTCTTGCCCACCATATCTCAGAGTCTTCACTCAGAAAGAAATAATATCCATGATGTGAAAGTTGTTACTCCTTGGCTATGATTAAATAAATGCGAACGGAAGCATGGGAGTACAGGCTTGCCTAGTTGGATGGTGATAGAGGAGGATCAAAGCTACATCAAAGACTGCAGACAAGAGCAAAGGAGAGGAATATTTGGTATTTGTGACAATCACTTAGGATATTGTTTGTAATTTTGATAAGAGTCATTTTATATTGAGATGAAAGTAATTAGAGGGATTAATGTGCAGACTTCTGAGAAAATACAACAATTCGACAGGTGACAGCACAGTTGAGGACTTTGAAAGGAAAGGAGGTTTGGGGATGGGGTAGTAGATGGCAAAAATGGAGATTTGAAGAGTTTGTTATTGATGCAACACTTGCATTTGTGCAAAATTCCAGGTCAAGCCAAGCTCTCTCCACTTAGCTGCATTTACTCTTGTTCATTTTTGCGCTTTCCTTGCCACAATAATACAAATCTGGTGTGAAACGTTTCAAAAGTCTTCATTTTGTTTAAATATGAAAGCAGATAAATTCAATTATAGGTGTTCTATGCTGTAGAAATGTTGTTGTAAATGGATTTCTTTTTCGTTTCTTAGCGGAACTGGTTGTGGATAAAGCTATGGAACTGAAATATATTGGTGGCGTCTATGGTGGGAATATTAAGCCTTCACCATTCCTTTGTCTAACTCTTAAGATGCTTCAAATTCAGCCTGAAAAAGATATTATCGTTGAATTTATAAAGAATGAAGATTTTAAGTACGTATGGTTTATATAATCATATAACTTGTAAACTTATCAATTCCAATGTTCATTGTCCAATTATAGACCAGACTGAGGGCACAGTGTTAAAGTATAAACAATTAGGCAGAGTTCCTGGGTTTTTTTTAAGCTATTTGGCATTTCCGGCTAGAAAATATCCATATTAGGACTCTGAGAGCAAGACATTCCTGGCTGCGATGCAGTTTTTGGTTGAATCATCTGCCTTAACAAGGACATGAAGAACACCAATTTGAATGAAGAAGCTGTACTTGTAAAATTAACTTCTTCAGTGTGACCCTTCAATATGGAGGTGGGATAGTCCTGTCCCTTCCTTGCATATATGAGGAAACTGCAGGAAATGTAATTTGTTCCTTCATTATAAGGAAAGGTAAATTAATGACTATTTAATATTAGTTACCCTATGTAACATCAAATTGCCTAAACCTCTGGTGCCTGACATTTGCAACTTTTGTCAATTTTTTTGCGCATCCTTTATTAATGCATAGCCGAGTTCTTTGGTATCTGCCAATATAAGATTTTTTAAGTGTGGCAATATGTTTGCAAATTAAGGTTTTTTATTAAATTGGTTTTCCTTCCAGGTATGTAAGACTGTTGGGTGCATTGTATATGCGACTGACAGGTTCTGCCATTGATTGTTACAAATATCTGGAACCACTCTATAATGATTATCGGAAAGTGAAGAGACAGAAGAGAGATGGAGGTAAAAGTTGCTCCAACCGCGAGTAAAAGTGAGACCTAATTGCTTTACAGAATTGAGGGCGTTATGGATGAAACTTTGAAAGATTACTTGATTGAAGGAGCTACATTTTGATCACTAATGATGTTTATAGATTTTAGCAATTGCGATTTTGCTTTAGTCACAACAGCTTAATATTGCAATAATTTCTAATTTCAACTTACTCAAAGTATTCACACTGAGTAACAAAATTCAATTTATTTTTAATAATTAAATCATTGAAATTTATTACATTATTCTTTACGGATGTAAGCTAAGACTAGTCCAGAGATCTAGTATTTTGAATCCTACTTGATTCTTGTGTGTTAAACCAATTTATGAGTTAAGCTAAAAATTATTCGTCTTAACAAAAGACTGTCCGGTAAAGCATATTGTTAGTAGAGGAAAAATAATGAAATTGTCTCAAAAGCAGCTGAATTTAAGTCTAATTCGAGATATTTTAGACCTTAATTTTCTTCCAAGCTGGTTAGCCAGTTCTTAAATGGCACCAGTCAATGCCCACCTTTTACTTATGAATAATTTACACATCAAAATGTTTTGATGTATTATTTTGTTTTTGTATTATCATGGTTTTTTTCTCCTCAAGAGTTTGAACTTATTCACGTGGATGAATTTATGGATGAGCTACTCCATGAAGAGCGAGTTTGTGATATTATCTTGCCCAGACTTCAGGTATAGATTATTTGAAAGTGATAAATTGTATGTTCTATTCTCCAATTAATTGTATCTCGTATTCAGTTTTGACACCCCTGCACACCATTCTCATTTATTGAAAAAGTATGCATGGGCAGATGTCAGGTGGGAATGGTCCTGGCTGCCATTCACCACTATCTTCCACCCCACCCCTCCACATGATAGATAACTTGCCAGGTTTCACATTGTAGGCTCATATATAAAGGGCGGCTACCATGACAATGCAGCAGGGGATTTTTGTTGGCCGCGTGACCTTAAGGACCAAGACAACAGCACTGACCGGCAGGGGAGTGGGGAGCATCTGGATGCCGGAGAATTGGATATGTTAAATTATCTTGCAGTAAAATGCATTTTAATTTCCTTGTGTGGTTAATGATTTTTGTTTTGATGAAGGAATAGTTTGGATTTCTATAATGTGATACATACCTGATCCCTCAAATTATATCTTAACTCTTCACATTAAACTTTTGCAGACATTGTACACAAGGAGCTTGATCACTACAGTTATTTGATTTCCTGTGGTTTAGCACCTGAGTAGTCAAGGTGAAGTGCAGTCTTTAAATCCAGCAACATTAGAGGGTGGAAAGGAAACACTGGACAAAGAGGCTGTATTGGGAGGAGGAGTTTCTTGACTGATATTGGTCAGGTTGAGGTGGTACGGTATTGTTATCGAGGTGTGAAAAATACCTGGAGCCTGGAAGTGATGTTTGTCGAGTGGCTGAGCCTGAGGAGTGATAGGTACTTCGTTGGGAGGGGATTGTTAGAACAAAAATATTAAACCTGAAGGTGCGACATTACCAACGATCATCTTAGTAAAGAAATCTCTTGAGAAAATGATATTAATTACTGTGTAGGTATAGACAATACTGAAAGCTAACAGATATTGCTAACATCGGATTTTTAATCTGCAAGGTGACAGGACATGCTGATTTTTATTGATGAATACAGTTTGTAGAACTACTAGAGAGTGAAGACATCACGTTAGTGAATCACTTCATTACTTCCCTAACATTTTACTTAATTCAGCTACAAGCTGCTTATGATTTACATTCACTGCTTAGTATCCTGAGCAACTCTACATAAATTTTCACAGTGAAACAAATCTTCAAAATATTAATCCATCCTCATATCTCCTTGTAAGACCAATTTGGCGCTAGCCGCACTTGCTCGGCTATGACCTCAGGTTGAACCACCACAAATCTTTTCTGTCTAATGACAGAGCAGCCCTATGGTCTGGTAGGACTATGGCAACTTTATATTTGTTACAATAGTAGATTGATAACTTGTCAGCACTCTGAAGGATGTATCTTCGAATGGGAAAGGGCTCTGACACTGTTCATCTTTGTATAAAATACCGAGTTCACTTCCAGTTCAGAATAGGAAAGTTGTCTGGCACAGGTGAGCGAGTTAAATGCGTGACTTTGTAGAAGTTAGTTTTTTCACTTGCATTTTAGATAAGCTAAGAAGGACATATTGAAGGATGCATTCTTATTATGTATGTACTCTATTCAATTTGGTTTTACTTGTATCCAAACCATATGGTGATTGTAAGCGAAAAAAACTCCCCATGTTTTAACTGGGTAATCTAAGTTGAATATCTACACTTTTAAAGAAAATGTCATCTGGGCGTGGGTAATGTAACACATCCCTTGGATAGAGATCTTCCGTCTGAAATTTCTGTGTGTCAATGATGCCGTTAAGAAATTTGAAGATTTTATCCTCTAAAATGAAGCATTAGGCTGACATGTGATATGGAAGGAATCTTGGAATTCCCATTGTGTTGCTGCTGTTCTCTGCGATGGTGGAGGTCATGGGGCTGGCAGATGCTATCAGCATAACTGTTTTAAGTTGCTACAGTGCATCCTGTAAATATTGCAGGTATGGTGCATATAGTGATAATGAAGAACTTGATGTTGAGTTCACTAGTAGGGAAGTCAGTCAAAACTGTTTAGTTCTGCAGAGTACCAAGTTTCTTGAGTATAGCAGATGTTTCTTTCATCCAGGGTATGATGTGAGTATTCCATTATACTCCTTGCATGAACCTTTATAGATAATGGGAAAGCATTGGTGAACTTTGCAATGGTGTCACTTTTCTTGTCTGGCACTTGAGTTATATGAATATTCTCTATCATTGTGAACTCAAGTCTGGATGCTGTTCAAGTCCTTCAAAGTATCATTGATTGCTTCATCGTCAGAGAAGTTGCTTATGGTGATAAACACAGAAATCAACACCAAATAACCCCCTCCCCTATTTGATCCCTTGTCACGCTGAAAATCATTGATAATTTGGATAAAGAGGCTGCGCTGAGACAGCTGAATTTTGTCCAATCAAATATCTTCAGAGTCTTGCTTTCAGTGTTTGGAAAGGGAAAAGAACATTGAAGGAGGAGGTCACAGGAATCCACTCCACCCTAGTAAATTGAGAGATTTATATTTGAAAATCCCATAATCTAGAATTCCACAGGTAGAAACACAACAGTAATGGTTTGTAAAAGTACAACACTGGTTACATATTTTTAAGGTTTTATTTATATTTAAAAGCGTAACCCTTTGCTAAGTGAAATTGCTATCTGCAGCATAAAAATAAGTTGTTAAAATGTTCCTAATGTCCAGTTAACGTGTTCTGAATTTTTCAACTACAAAGCGTTCATTATCCTTGAACTGTTCATTTTCAGTGATGTAAATCTGCATTAAAATAAGCTATTTTCTTCTAGAAACGCTATGTGTTGGAAGAAGCAGAGATGCTGGATACTCGAGTCAGTGCATTGGAGGAAGATATGGACGACGTAGACACAAGTGAAGATGAAGATGAGGATGAAGATAAGGTTTTATACACCTAATGAGTTTATATTAAATATTGTATAATTGTATTTATTATTTTAAAAAAATTGGCTTCAACCTTTTTTCTAAGTGGAAAATGTTTATTGCCCTATCCTTCAAATTTTAAACATTTCTTAGGAATAGATGATTTGGTCCAAACAAGGCTGAGCCATTCACCTAACTTTTAATCAAACTTCAGTCTTCCAGTATGTGTTGGAACTAATAAAGGCGGATATCTGAAAAAAAATGATCGGTCATACTAATAAGCCTAAGAATCACAGATCTGTTATTAATAACCTTGCATGTATTTCTGTCAATCCAGATTTTATTAAAAATAGGACTGATACATTTAAATATTTCTAAACTTCAAAAATATCATGATACTTCCATAATTTAAGGTTACATTTGTTTTATTTTAATAAAAAAAAATGCTGAAATGATTTTTTGAGATAAAACCTTTTAAGTATTCAATATACTTAACGCGGTATTTTACTTTTTATAAAGCTTTTTAAGCAGTTTTTTTTTAATGCCTTCTCCTTATCATTTATTTAATGCCTTAACCCTATCTCCACCCATCTCTTATCCCCTACATTGCCAGACATAAATGTTTCTTGAGTTTCTATTTGATGGTGTGTATAGCTTAGGTAGTCTAAGTGACTTCAGTTTTAAAAGCACTTTTATTTTGCATTATTTGTACAACCGTATTATTCTTCTGGTTGCAGAGAAAGAGTTGATTTTGTGTTAGATTCGTTCTCTGTATGTACTCCTTGAAGGATAAACAGAAAAATTGTGTTACAGTCAATTCCTGTTCTTAATTTTCTGTACATTATATGTTAATAACCTCAAGGGTGACAGAGTTCCATCACCAGAGCCTCCACGACGTGGCTACCGTGATCTTGATCGACCTCGAAGATCACCATCTCCACGATATCGAAGAAGTCGAAGCAAAACACCAAGACGGTAAGAAAACTGCTGCAGTCATAAGTTTCCAATGCATAAAGTAAAATACAATGTGGAAATTCACAACAAATCATCAGCATATGAAAAGAGGAAATATAGATTAGCATAACATTCGTGGAAATACATCTGATATGTTTTTATGTCAGATATGCAGCATTTTAAATTTTTCAGTCTTTATTTTCCACAAGTGAAGTAATTTGTGACAATAATTCATTATGCAACTGGAAAATTGTAGTAAATCTATTCTTTTAAATTGATTCATTGGTTTTTAGAGTTTATTGGCAGTGTGTTAATTCATGCAGGTGCAACAATAACTCGTAAGTTTGAGAAAAGAGACCAAACTTTGACTAAAATTCCACTTAAAGTAAAAATTACTTTTTTTGATCATGCTAAAGGAAATATTCTAAGGTCATCACATTCTTAATTTTGTATTTTACAGACGAAGCAGGTCCCCCAAGCGAAGAAGGTATGATGTTTTGTATTTTCTTGGCATTTTTAGCAACTGAGTATCCATTGTTTTAATTTTACATTTGACATCTTTGTTTTACTGAAGCCCATCGCCACGTCGTGAAAGACATCGCAGCAAAAGTCCTAGACGTCATCGTAGTCGATCTAGAGATCGTCGTCACAGATCAAGATCCAAATCTCCAGGTATGATTGTATTTTTAAACTTCAATTTGACTGGTTACTATTTTTACTTTAAATACTGGAAGCTTGTATGTAATTTTTATGTTTGATGACCGTTACCCGCAATGAAGCCTGTAAGAGGACTTGATCTCTTGTGCTGTCCTTTCTGATTTATGATGACCGATGGTGGACAGGCTTTTTAAGACAAACTTTGTGATTTAAAGGAAACATAAACATATGTGGAATTATAAAGTCATCGAGTTGTACAGCATGGGTACAGACCCTTCGGGCCAACTTGTCCACACAAACGAGATATCCTAAATTAGTCTAGTCCCGTTTGCGAGCATTTGGCCCATATCCCTCTAAATCCTTCCTATTCATATACCCATCCAGATGTCTTTTAATTGTTGTAATTGTATCAGCCTCCACCACTTCCTCTGCTTATTAACAGCACATTTGTGTTGTATTGCACCATGTTAGGACAATGGGCAAGCATAGGATAATCAGACATCACAACACATGTGTTCCTAATGTCCTTATTCAACTTTTAGACCAAAATCTTCCAAGTCACGCAAGCATGACTAGAAAGCACAGCAGCAACTTCCATAATATTGTGCTTTTGGAGAAGTGGATGTGAAACATTTTTGAGAGATGATTGAAAACTTGGTCAAAAAAAGGAGTTTGAGGAAGGCTTTCATAAACAGGGAGTTAAGAAAGAAACATGAGGTTAATTGGAGATTAAGTTGTTGGTTCAAGCCATTCAATACATATACTAACTGAACGAGAAGAACTAATCAAACATTTGAAGTAGCAGAATGAAACAAGAGAATTGATGTTCTACGGGGTAAAGGACATGGGAATCATGTGGACAGATTGGGAAGGAAGCTACCTTGGTCCTCCAAGTATGTAATTGGATAGGGAAGCTGATAAACTGAATCCCCACCGTGGACCATAGTTTAGTCACTAAGGTTTTGCAGTAGATTTGTAGCTCGGGTTGTGGAGTTGTGGTTGGTTGGCTTGCTGAGCTGGTGCGTTGTTCCGCAGACGTTTCATTACCGTAGACGATTCTATGGCCTCCCGAAAGTACACAAACCGGAAGTACCCCTTAGATCCATAGTCTCCCTACCAGGCACGCCATCACACAGATTAGCCAAGGAACTACAAGGGAGACTAAGGCACCTGGTCAGCAGGCCACCTCACTCAATCCACTCAGCCCAAGAATTCTTCAAATCCACAAAAGACATAAGGATAGATGACGAGGAGACCATGATATCATTTGATGTCACTGCCCTATTCACATCAATAGATATACCACTAGCAAGGGAAACAATGACAGCACTACTAGAACAAGAACAAGATCCCAATGAAACCCTCTCCATGGATAACATGTTGAAGCTACTGGACCTATGCCTCACCACCCACTTCACTCTCAATGGCCAAACATACGAACAGATCAACAGGACACCCATGGGATCACCTATCTCCGGACTTATAGCCGAAGCAGTGATACAAAGACTGGAAAGGATGGCCCTTCCGCTAATCCAACTAAAACTATGGATAGGCTACGTGGACGACACCTTTGTCATCATCAAACGGGCCAAACTAGAGGAGACACACAAACTAATAAACAACACCCTCACCGGAATCAAATTCACCAGAGAGGAGGAGAAGAACGAACAGCTCCCATTCCTGGGCATCATCGTAGAGCACAAGACAAATGGGGAACTCCAAACGAAAATACGGAGAAAAGCCACACACACTGACCAGGTACCGAACTTCAACAGTAACCATCCTAACACACACAAATGAAGCTGCATGCGAGCACTATTTAAACGGGCAACAACACACTGCAGCAGCACAGAACTATGCAGAGAAGAAGAAGAATACCTCTTCCAGGTTTTCAAAGATAATGGATATCCAAAAAACTGGGTCAGAAGATGCCTACATGAACAACACCAGGAAGATACTACACCCCCTGACACACTCATCACGCTACCTTACATCAGAAACACATCGGAACTAACCACAAGACTCCTACGACCGCTGGGCATCAGAGCGGCACATAAACCCACATCAACCCAACGACAACTGCACACCCGAACCAAAGACCAACTTCCCACTATGGACAGGACCAATGTCATATACAAGATTCCCTGCAGAGACTGTGACAAACACTCATTCGGACAAACAGGACGGAAATTATCAACAAGGGTACATGAACGCCAATTGGCTACAAAAAGACATGACCAGTACTCACTCATCTCGATCCACATGGATAAGGAAAACCACCAATTCAACTGGGACAACACTGAGATCTGGGACAAGCAAAGCAGAGACAGGCACGGGAATTCCTAGAAGCCTGGTACTCCGCTAAGAAAGCCATCAACAAACACATAGAACTCAACCCCATATACAGTCCACTACAAAGGAAAACCGGAAGTGAGGTAATCCAGCTCACCAGACTCCAGAGTTTAAAAACCAGGCGGGAAAACACAACGGCGCTTCATCGGAGGCTGCACTGATGTTACTCAGCAGGGTAATGAAACGTCTGCGGAACAACAAACCAGCTCAGCGAGCCAACCAACCACAATAGTTTAGTCACTTGCTTTTTAACAAGCCTGAAAAACAGTGAAACTACTTTTCTGAGCACCCGTTTGCTCCAAATTTGATACAAACTATATATTTTTAGCTGATAATAAGAATATGTTCTCTGAATTAAAAGACAATCATCCTGAGAGACTGCAAATTTCACCTTATGACAGTAATTTAAATGGCACATTTAAATGCTGACAGTGCCTGTAGTTAGCAATTAAATTGATATCTACGAATTATGGGAATCAAATGACATTTCTAATTATATTGCAACTAGCACTATATTATCTAGCATCTTTTACCTTTTAAAATATCCCCAGTGCCAAACAGGTGCATTATCAAATAAGATTTGATACTGAGACTTGGTGGTTAGCAATGCTGCCTCATAGCACCAGGCACCCGGGTTCGATTCCAGCCTCAGGCGACTGTGTGGAGTTTGCATGTTCTCCCTGTGTCTGTGTGGGTTCCTCCCACAGTTCAAAGATATGCAGGTTAGGGGGATTGGCCATGCTGTGTGGGTTAAGTGCAGGGTTACAGGGATAGGGTAGGGGGTGTTGCATCTGGGTGGGATGCTCTTCAGGGGCTTGGTGTGGACTTGACGGGCTGAATGGCTTGCTTCCACACTGTAGGGATTCAATGAGTCACAAAGGGGCAGATGATCAAAGGCTTGATCAAAAGGATGGGCTGGATTTGAGGAATATATTCAATAAAGAATGGCATGCAACATTGTAACTTTATCAAGGCTTCCTGCCACCTGTTCTGTTGTGGCAAGGTTAGGTTATTGGCCATGTCTGTGCATGTGCAGCAGCCATATTGGATTTGGTATAATCACTCTGAATTTCAGAATGAAAGCTCAGATTGACTGGGAGTCAGAGATGATTACCAAGCAGGGATGATGGGTGAACAAAACCTATTGCAAGTTAGGACAAAGGCAGGAGTGTGCTCAGCTCAAGTTTACAGAGCATAGAAGATGGAAAGTCTGCCAGCAATTCATTTGAGTAAGCAGGCCTGGGGGCATGAAAGGCATAGGTGAGGGGTCCATTCATAAGATAAGGGAATGGAGATTTAGACAATATTATGGAAATCAGAATAGACTGTTTTAGCAAAGGCGTGATGGATGTGAGATCAAAAGCTCACATTGGGTTTAAGTATGACACCAAGGTGGCAAACAGTCTGGTTCAGTCTCAGGTTATTGATCTAATTGCATAAAAGACTGGACAAGTGGGTTAGACATGTGATGTAAAGGCATTGCTGCTGTTTTGTTTAAAAATGTCAACTTTACAAAGTATGTCAATGACAATTTATAACTAATCTTGAAATACAATGCTTGATAGTACAAGTTATTCTTCTCTCCAGTTATTCTTGGCTTCTAGTTTGCCTTTTTCATTTCCAAATTGTCTTCATTATCCTATTCCAGGTTATTTCTGTGTTTTTTTTATTTGAATCAAGCAAAACTACAGAAAAATTCCAAATATAAACTCAAATTACTGCAATGTTTGAATTCTGACTCCATGGAGCTGCCCATTTACCCTATTAAATGTTAGCAAGAAAGCCTGTAATTTAAAATTGTACGTTATTCAAAATCTCAGTACATGTGAAAATGGGGAAATGATTGAAGAAAGCTGTGAACTGACGCAAGGTGGTTATGACCAAATCTTGCTCCAGTACATAATGTCTTACAAGGTTTTAGAGTAGATTTGTAGCTTGGGTTGTGGATGTTGTGGTTGATTGGCTTGCAGAGTTGGTGCGTTGTTCTGCAGACATTTCATTACCCTGCTGGGTAACGTCATCAGTGCAGCCTCTGTTGAAGCCTGTTGGCTTCATTGGAGGCTGCATTGATGATGTTACCCAGCATGGTAATGAAATGTCTGCAGAACAATGAACCAGCTCGGCCGGCGAGCCAACCAACCACAATAATGTCATCCGTTGGAATACCAGAGTGAAATCCATCCTAGGAAACAGAGAGCCAGAACAAATAATTGATAAAAATAATGAAAAATTGAAAACAAGATTTTCACTAACATCAAGTCCAATCAGCTTGGCACTATAAACAAGCATTGTTGGATTTGTCTCTGGTAACGAATGCAAGAATTTTTTTCAACATTGACTCTGGCAAACATTTCATTCACAAAAGTTCATGAAAATAAATTACTGTAAACATAAAGTTGGCCCAGGTTCGGACAATAATGTAATTTCCTCTAATGTAGTCAGATCTTACCCTAAGATTTAGTTAAAGTCAGAAATCACACAACAGCAGGTTATAATCCAACAGGTTTACTTGAAAACACAAGATTTAGGAGGCTCCGTCTTTCTTCAGGTGTTAGTGAGAGAGCTGGTATCAGCCACAAAATTTAATGTAAAAGATCAAAGGTTCACACCATTGATGATGATATATCAAACAAACTAAGATGCTGTTAAATCTTTAATCAGTT